CTACTCTACAGGGGCGCCTGGGTGGCTCAGTTGGTTAAGTGTCTGCCTTCGGCTCAGGTCATAGTCCCAGGGTCCTGGGATCGAGCCCTGCATCGGGCTTCCTGCTCAGCGGGGAACCTGCTTCTGCCTCTCCCTCTGCAGTTTCTCCCTGCTCCGGCTCTCTCTCTCTCAAATAAATAAATAAAATCTTAAAAAAAAAAAAAAAACTAGGGGCGCCTGGGTGGCTCAGCTGGTTAAGCGACTGCCTTCGGCTCAGGTCATGATCCTGGAGTCCCGGGATCGAGTCCCGCATCAGGCTCCCTGCTCAGCAGTGAGTCTGCTTCTCCCTCGGACCCTCCCCCTCTCATGCTCTCTCTATCTCATGCTCTCTCTCAAATAAATAAATAAAAAAATCTTAAAAAAAAAAAAACTATACTGAACTTAAAAGAGGAGATTTTCCTCACGAGGAAACCCAAACAGAGTGATAAACTCTAAAGGTAAATAGAAGCCCAGGAAAATAAGATCTAGTTTACATGTCAAGTTTTTAATGCCCACACAGAAACAAGGCCACCCCTGAAGACCCCTAAATGAAAGAACCTTGGAAAGGCCACCTCTCCATGATGCTAGACAAACTCTACCCACTTACCAAGTGAAACAATAAAGCAATAAGGAAACTTGCTCTGCTCAGGGCTCCTTCAAGAAATTGAAGCCCAAAGTCTGCACCATGCTCAGGCACAGATGAAGAATTTATGCTACCTGATGGGGCATCTGGGTGGCTCAGTCAGTTAAGTGACCAGCCTTTGATTCTGGCACAGGTCATGATCTCAGGGTCCTGGAATTGAGCCCCACATCAGGCTCCCAGCTCAGCGAAGAGTCTGCTTGAGGATTCTCTCTCTCCCTCTCCTGAGGTCCCTCTCCCCACTCATGCTTTCTCTCTTTCTCAAATAAATAAATCTTAAAAAAAAAAAAAATAGGAACAGACTTATCCCTGTATAGCTACAGAAAAACTACTGCACTAATAAGAGAGTTTGGCAAGGCTGTGGAATACAAAAGCCAGTATGAAGACTCCATAAAGGGCCTACAGTACAATGACAAACAATTAAAAAGTACAATTTTTATAAAATATCCTATTCATAATAACTTCCAAAATGAGACACATAGGAATAAATATAGCCAAAGATGCAGTGCATTTTTATAGGAAACATCTAAAGCTTTATTGAAAACAAAACATTTACTAATCTAAAACAACTGAAGCACTGGGGCGGGTGGGTGACTCAGTCAGTTAAACGTCCAACTCTTCATTTTGGCTCAGGTCATGATCTCACCATTGTGGAATCAAGCCCCTATCGGGCTCCACGCTCAGGAGTCGGCTTGGGATTCTCTTTCTTCCTCTCCCTCTGCCACTCCCCCCGCTCACACTCTCTCCCTCGAAATAAATACATAAAATCTTTTAAATAAATAAATAAAAATAAAACAACTGAAGCACTTAGTAAGATATAAATGAAGGGATAGTAAATATTTATGAGTAAGAGGTGTATATTTATACTTATATATTCATTTCATCCTGAAATCACCTATAAAATTATTGCAATTTTAATCAAAACACATAACTCAACAAGCTGATCCTAAAATTCATATGGAAGAAGGAAAAGATGAGATCCAGGAATAGCCAAAACAATTCTGAAGAAAATAAAGAAGGAGTTGGGGGACCATCCTACCATATATCAAAACTTTTTTATAAAGTTTTAAGAATTAAAGCAGTATTATTATAATAACAATCTACCAGACCAAGGGAACAAAATATTTAAACCAGAAACAAATGCAAGTTTTAAAATTTGATCAATCTAAGGGAATGCAATATATGATAAAGGTGATAACATAAATTAGCCAGTCTGAGAACACTTGGTTGGCATTGTGGGGGGGAAAATTAGATCCACAACACACACTATACACAAAAATAAATTCCAGATGAATTAAAGGCCTAAATGTGATAAAATTTGAAAACTCATAAAATATTTTAAAAATCTTTATTACTGAGGTAGAGAATTTTTGTAGAAACACAAAAAAATGAAAAGAAAAAAGTGACAAATTTCAGTCTATAAAATAAAAATATGTGTATCAAATTTTTCTGTGTACTTTGCAAAGGTGAGAAGGCCTCAGGCTGGAAGAAAATATTGTAAAACACAGAAGATAGACAAACAGAGATAGAGCCCCACATATACCAATCTGAAAGATAAATCCAATGAAAAACATGGTCAACAATGTGAGCAGGCAATTTCGTAGAATGGAAAATGACCAACAGATTTATGAAAATATGTTCAATTACACTGGTAATCAAGGCAATTGCTTAAGATGAGCTATAATTTTATACCCTTCAGATGGGCAAAAATTAAAACTTTAAAAATACTAAGACTTAGTAAGGTTGTAGGGGCATGGAACAATAGTTTTATACATTGCAGGGGAGAACGTCAACTGGTATAATCACTTTGTAAATATAAAGATGAGGAATGCTAAACCCAAGCCATTCTATTTCTAGGTATAATCTCTAGAAACACTCTCATAAATGTGCCCAAAGAGACATGTACACAGAAATTCAATGCTGTGGTGTTTAAAATGATGTAAAATTAGAAATAACCAAAGGTCCATTGATGGATCAATACATTATAGTATAGAAATACACTGGCATACTCAAAAACAGCTAAAATTAATGAATGGATAAATCTCAAAACCATATGTCAAGTAGGAAATAAAAGAAAAAGTACATATTTTCTCTACATTTTAAAAACCCAAAAAGAATAATTTTACATTGCTACAGGCATATGCATACATATAAAAAGGTTTTTTTTAAGTGCATGGGGATGATATATATCAAAGATCAAAGACTACCTCTAGGCAGTCTTTTTCTAGGGAGAAAGGGTAGGAAAAACATACGATGCGGTGTGGGTGGGGAAGGGTGGCAATTTAACAACAAAGAAACTCTGAAGCAAACATGACAAAATGTTACTATTTGTTAAAGATAGGTGGAGGATACAAAGGGGTTTATATTTTTTCTGTCCTCTGGCATATTTAAAATATTTCATAATTTAAACATTTTATGTAGAAAAAAGTCTGGCAGTATGCATGGTGTGCACGTCTTAAAAGGCCTATCCTATAAAACAAGGACAGAAGCTAAAAAGGGAGATGTTTGTTTTCAATGGGGAAAAAATTTGAAAACAGAATTAAATAAATCGCAGAATAGCCATACAATCAAATGTCACGTAACCACAAAAAAATTATAGCTCAAAAGCATGGTTATTAACTTGGAAAGATGTTGACAACATATCAAGTCAGGGGGGAAATGGGTATAAAAGTATAGGTTTTCAACTAAGGCCGGAAATAGTTAAATAAACCTCCTATATGCACTAACAGGCCAAAGTTCCATTAAATGCACCTGTCTTATTTTAATCTCTTATCAACTTGCATCTATGGAAAAAAATTAACTACAAGCAGCCTAATGATAATAAAGAGTACAAGAGATTAATTCCAGTGTTTCAAACAAGAAAGCTATTGCTGATACAGAACAGCTGCATTCAAAGCCAAAAACAATTATTTCCCAGTGTTGGTGCCAACACTGCCTCCCCCCCACCACTTTCCAAATGAGACCTGCTCCATTTAACCACCTGGTCAGAGAGCACAGATGTGTACATTGCTGATCATATATACCAAAGAGCCAGATAAAATATAATACATTATATGCGAAATAAACTGTCAGGTCTCATTGAAACCCAAAGTTATAATCATAAAGTGATGTCATATTTGTAAGAGGAATGGGTGGCAGTAAGAAGTTGATAAACCGGGGACCGACTTGCGTACTCAAAACCTGTGCTCTATATTTTATTCACTGAAAGTTGTCCAAAGGTCTAAGAATCCCAATAGATTCTATTTTATGAAAACTGCAGTAGCCTACTAAGGGAACACTGCTTCCCCTACTCACAACACTTCTGACACCAAATGTGTGTGGGGGTTCCATATGCCAACTAATTCTCCAACTCTCCAGACAGCAAGTGGGTGTTCTACAATCTGACTACCTGGAGGTAGAGCAGACCCCACAGATGAAGGGCTGAGTCCCACAAGACTGCCCCACCAATTCCAAGTAGTGGGTACCCATGTTACTCACACTTCTATCCAACTGGGCTACAGATCAGGGGTTCCCATGGCCCCCTCCTCATGTTCAATCATTTGCTACAGCAGTTCACAGAACTCATGGAAACACATTTAGCAGCTTATTATAAAGGGCATTATAAAGGATAAAAATGAACAACCTAATGAAGACGTACATAGTGAGAGTCCAGAAGGTTCCCAGGTACAGGAGTTTCTGTCCCAAGGGGGGTTGGATTGGGCCAACTCTCCTGGCACATGGATGTGTTCACCAACCTGGAAGGTCAATGAATCCCATAGTTTAGAAATTTTTGTGGAGGTTTCATCACATAGCCATGACTTATTAGTAACTCAACCTCCAGCCCCTCTACCTACCCTAGAGGTAGAGGGGCAGAGTGGGAAATGTAAGGAGAGGCTGAAAGTTCTAACCCTCTAACCACAAGGTTGGTTCCTCTGGCACCCAGGTGCCCTCCTAAGGACCCATCAAGAGTCACTAATTAGCATACAAAAAGACACTCATTAGTTCCGGAGACTCCAATAGTCTTAGAAGCTCTTATGCCTGGAAACAGAAACTAAGACCAAATACTATAACCAAAAAAATGCTCCTATCACCCCTGTTACTCAGGAAACTACAAAAGTTTAAAAAGCTCGTGCCAGGAACTGGGGATGAAAACCAAATAAATACTTATTATTTCATATTACACATACAATAAAGGATAGGAAGTTAGAACTTTTTCTCTTATACTTATCATTTAAGTAATCTCTACCCCCAATGTAGGGCTCAAACTCATGACCCCAAGATCAAGAGTCACATGCTCTTCCAACTGAGCCAACCAGGAGCTCCAAAGTTAGAACTCTTAAGGGAAAATATTTTGATTACTGTTCCTTTACTGTGAAAGTACTTCTCGTGTTCTTTATACCTTGATGAAGTATTATTGAGACTGCTAAGGCCAACAAATATAAACTGCTTTTATTGTGCAAAAATTAAGAATGGCTCAGGCTATATAATGGTAGTTGATGTAAATGCACTAAATCTCAGCTTCTAGAAGAGTTGATTTTGAACTCAATCATCCTTTAAGAGAAGACATACCAGCTTGCATAATTTCATCAACCAGGAGAATGTTGGTGGCAATCACCGTGCTGAAGAAAAAGATAACGGTGAGTAAAGCCTACCAACCCACTCTCATCTTTTCCCCCCAGCAATCTCCAGCTACTAAAAGTACTTTGTTCTTTAATGATGTTATATGAGGTATTATGAGATGAAGCTATTGTAAATACAAACATCACCCCTTGTATTATAATTTCAACTCCTCTGCTGATAAAAATTTGATTTTATATACCAGCAAATCTGAGTTCATTTTTAGCACATCATTTGCTTTTCCCTGCTAAGCATGTGGTACAATTTCAGTAAACTTCCTTCTTTCCCTTCCCCCTCAAATAAACAGTAAGATAAACATTTCCTGTATCTGACACTGCTAGAAGTAAAATGGAAAAAGGACTATAAAGTGACAGAAGCTAGTGTTAGTAACTGGATACCATGCCTTTTCATACACTTAACCATTTTTCACTATCGGGTGGCAAAAACAATAGACAAGTTTTAAAGTTACTGATTATGTCCCTAACAGTCTTTCTCTTTTTATTAATATGAATTTACCAAGAGTGAAGAAGTTGTTTTTTCACACAATAATTATCCCAAACTCCTGCATCTGCTGCTACCATGGGCTCACCTGCAAAGTAAAAACAAACTATTTTAACACTACAATCTTGATATATTCTGTTAATACTGGTTATATATTTCAACAGTGTTTAAAATACCAGCAGAACTACTAGTGTCCAGGTCACAATGACCCCATGTTATCAAATCCAATCCAGGGGTCAGTTCTCAGGCCTTGTGGATCAGCAACACTTAACATGGCCTCCTGACTACTCTTTCTTTACCCGTCTTCCAGGACACCACGCTCAGCCTCGTTTTTTCTTTTGCATTAGTAGCAACTTTTCTGTGGACTTTCCTGGTTCTTCCTCTTCTTCCCAGAGCTCTTAATTCTGGCGTAGCCAATGACTTAGTCCTGGGTTCTTTTCTTCTCTCTCTACACTCACTCCCTAGGTAATCTCATCCGGTCTTATGGATATAAACCATACACACTCTGAAGACTCTTGTTTTTATCTCCAACCCAGAGCTCTTTCTTGAGCTCCAGACTCATACTTCCAACTGTCTATTTCACTTGAAAGTCTACAGACACTTTGAATTTAACTTTGCCAAAACTCAGTGCTCACCTTCCCCCCATCACAAGCTGCTCTACCCACAGTTCTCTGATGTGGTTAATGGCCATTCCAGTTGTTCAGTGGACTCCTCTCCACAGAATAGCCAGAGTGATCCTTTTAAACATAATTAGGCCATGTCACACCTCTGCCAAAAATTGCTCCCTATTCCACTGCAGTAAAAGTCAAAGTCCTTGGATTGGCCCCCATACCCTGCATGATCTTTCTACTACCTCTCGTATCTCCTTCCTCCTCTTCAAAAGCTTCAGACACTGACTTTTCCACTGGCTGCTCCCTCTACCCAGGATAGTCTTTCCTCAGTTCCCTAACATGGCTACTTCCTTACTTCCTTTGATTATTTTCTATAGACGTATTCTCAGTGAGGTCTACCCCACCCACCTTTCTCTTTAAATTGCAACCCCCTCCCCGCACCTCATGCTAGCATTCACAGTCATCCTTATAGGGTTCTTCTATTTTTTCATAGAATTTATTACTCCTTAAATGTTCAGGGAACTTATCTGTTAATGGTATTATTTACTGCCTATCCTTCTCTGCTATAATATAAGCTTAGAAGTTTCTTTGTGAATCTCAAGAGTCAAATAACAAACACTCAAAAACTATTTCCTAAAAGAATAAATATTTTCTTTTAAGAAGTTCAAAAGTAAAACTAAAGAATGAATGGGTCAACCAGGAAATTAAAGAAGAATTTAAAAAATTCATGGAAACCAATGAAAATGAAAACACAACTGTTCAAAATCTTTGGGGTACAGCAAAGGCAGTCCTAAGAGAAAAGTATA